TCGGAATAATACCACTGCTACTACGACTACGGCTACGACTAGTACTAGTACTACTACAACTACCACCGGAAACTAATAGCAGTACTAGTAGAAGTAATGATGCCTCCACTAGATACCACCACTAGAATTAGTAGCAGAATTCGCAGCAGTAATTAGAACCATTAATTCACAACATAATGCAGACCATACGTATCAATAGCAGCGCTACTAAAATTAGTAGCAGTAGTTAGTATAATACTTCGAATTAGTAGTGGTGGTATTGGTAGTTCTAACAATACTACAAGTAGTACCAGTAGTACTAGTAGTAGTAGTAGTAGTAGTAGTAGTAGTAGTAGTAGTAGTAGTAGGAGTAGTAGTAGTAGTAGTAGTAGTAGTAGTAGTAATAGTAGTAGTAGTAGTAGTCGTGGTGGTAGTAGTAGTACTAATCATATTAGTAGTAGGGACTAGTAGTAGCCGTAGTAGCGCTAGTAGTAGTAGTAGTCGTCGTCGTCGTCGTCGTTGTTGTAGCCGAAGTCGTAGTCGTAGTATTGGTCGTCGTCGTCGTAATCGTAATGCAAACTGCGGCTGACGTAATATTACCAGTCCAAGGGTGAGCAGAACTGGTAGCAGTAGTAGTAGTACTAATAAAAGTGATAGTAGTAGTCATGGTAGTCGTAGTAGTAGTAGTAGTAGTAGTCGTAGTAGTAGTAGTAGTAGTAGTAGTAGCAGCAGTAGCAGTAGTAGTAGTGGTAGTAGTAGTAGTAATAGTAGTAGTAAAACTAAGGTAGTAGTAGTAGTAGTAGTAGTAGTAGTGGTCTGGTCGTAGTAGTAGTGGTCGTAGTGGTAATAGTAGTAATAGTAGTTGTTGCAGACGAAGTAGTAGTAGTAGTAGTAGTTGTAGTAGTAGTAGTAGTAGTAGTAGTAGTGGTAGTGGTGGTGGTAGTAGTCGTAGTAGTAGTAGTAGTAGTAGTAGTAGTAGTAGTAGTAGTAGTCGTAGTCGTAGTCGTAGTGGTAGTGGTAGTAGTAGTAGTAGTAGTAGCAGTAGTAGTAGTAGTAGTAGTAGTAGTAGCAGTAGTAGTAGTAGTAGTAGTAGTAGTAGTAGTACTAGTAGTAGTAGTAGTAGTAGTAATAGTAGTAGTAGTAGTACTAGTAGTAGTAGTAGTAGTAGTAGTAGTAGTCGTAGTCGTAGTCGTAGTCGTAATCGTAGAAATACTAATAAGAATCGTAATAACTGTTTTTGCAACAGCAACCCTCATAGCAACAAGAGGAGCAGCATACCGAGGCGAAGCAGAAGCGGGAGGAGCAGCAGGATATACGGCCGAGCCTCAAGGGGGCCGCAGGAGCAAGTGGCAGAGCAGCAGGAGGAGCAGGGAAAGGAACAACAAGACAAGCATCATTCAGGAGGCGCAGCAAGAGGAACAGCAGGAGGAACACCAGAGCAGCAAGAGACGCAGCAAGAGCAGGAGGAAGAGGAGCAGGGATGAAGAACGCCTGAGCAGCAAACAAGAACAACAGAAGAAACACCAGGAGGAACACCGGGAGAAGAGGATGGCAACATCAACAATCAACAGAACAGAAGCAAGCGGCGGCGCACAGCCACGGACCAACATATTTGTACGGGGGGCGCTGGGCTTGAGGAGCAGAAGGAAGAGGGGGAGGATGAGCAGGAGGAACAGCAGCAGGAGGAGCAGCCAGAGGAGCAGCGGGACCAACAACATGAGAAACAAAGGACTAGCACGAGGAGCAGCCAGAGGAGCAGCAGGAGGCCCAGCAGGAACAGCTGCAGAACAAAACAACACCCTGGCGACGTACCCAACCCCTGCGCAATGCGGGGCAGGAGTAGCTTGGCAGATTTGACGAGAAGGCGGCGACGTGACATGGACGCATATATTTCTGCGAGCGGCATTCGAAAGGTTCGCAGGTCCCCAATCAAGGGAAACACGATGAGTAACTAAGTGAACCCCTGAGCCATTAAGACGCAAGGTCCAAGCGGAGACGGTGGGCAAGGGGCTTGAAACGTCGGCGGGGCAGCAACAACATGACATGCCCCCCGCAAGGACGGCGAGGCCCCGCTCAGGTCTGCGCGGTGCCTCACTCCGCTGGACCCACCAGCAGCCTTCAAAAGCGGCGAGCCCACCAGCAGCCCTCGAAAGAGGCGACAGCGTCGCAGATCGCAGTCCCCCAGGGACGGCGAGGTCCCGCTCAGATCCCCGCGGTGCCTCACCCCGCTGGACCCACCAGCAGCCATCGAAAATGGCGACAAGTCCGCAGATCGCAGCCCCCCAGGGACGGAGAGGTCCCGCTCAGGTCCGCGCGGTGCCTCACTCCGCTGGACCCACCAGCAGCCCTCGAAAATGGCGACAATGTCGGAGATCGCAGACCCCCAAGGACGGGGGAATCCCGCTAAGATCCCCGCGGTGCCTCAATCCGCTGGACCCACCAGCAGCCCTCGAAAATGGCGACGGTGTCGCAGATCGCAGCCCCCCAAGGACTGCGAGGTCCCGCTCAGATCCCCGCGGTGCCTCAATCCGCAGAACCCACCAGCAGCCCTCGAAAGTGGCGGCAATGTCGCAGATCGCAGCCCCCCAGGGACGGGGAGGTCCCGCTCAGATCCCCGCGGTGCCTCACTCCGCAGGGCCCACCGGCATCCCTCGAACGTGGCGACAGTGTCGCAGATCGCAGCCCCCCAGGGACGGGGTGGTCCCGCTCAGATCCGCGCGGTGCCTCAGTCCGCAGGACCCACCAGCAACCATCGAAAGTGGCCGCAATGTCGCAGATCGCAGCCCTCCAGGGACGGCGAGTTCCCGCTCAGATCCCCGCGGTGCCTCAGTCCGCAGGACCCACCAGCAGCCCTCGAAAGTGGCGACAATGTCGCAGATCGCAGCCCCCAGGGACGGCGAGGTCCCGCTCAGATCCCCGCGGTGCCTCACTCGCAGAACCCACCAGCAGCCCTGGAAAGTGGCGGCAATGTCCATTGATCGCAGCCCCCCCAAGGACGGCGAGGTCTCGCTCAGATCCCCGCGGTGCCTCAGTCCGCGGGACCCACCAGCAGCCCTCGAAAATGGCGACGGTTTCGCAGATCGCAGCCCCCCAGGGACGGCGAGGTCTCGCTCAGATCCCTGCGGTGCCTCAGTCCGCAGGACCCACCAGCAGCCATCGAAAGTGGCGACGGTTTCGCAGATCGCAGACCCCCAGGGACGGCGAGTTCCCGCTCAGATCCCCGCGGTGCCTCACCCCGCTGGACCCACCAGCAGCCCTCGAAAGTGGCGTCAATGTCGCAGATCGCAACCCCCCAGGGATGGCGAGGTCCGCGCAAAGCAAGAGGAGACAAGAGGGGAGCGGGAGAAGGGAGGCGGGAGAAGGAGGACTGGAGACCGCAGTGCTCTATTCAAAACGAATGCCCAACCAAGGAGGGTAGGGAAAAACAGGAAAAGAGCGTCACGAGGAGCAGCGGGAGGATCAGCAGGAGCACAAGCAACAAAAGCAGCGGGAGAAGCAACATGAAGAGCAGCAGAAGTGGCGGCCAGAGGACCAGCAGGAGGAGCAGCAGGAGCAGCACGAGAAGGAGGAGGAACCGCAGCAAGAGCAGCAGGAGCAGCAGGAGGAACAGGACGACGAGCAGTTGGAGGGACAGCAACAAGAGGAGCAGCAGGAGGAGCTGCGGCACGAGAAGCAACAGGCGGAACAACGCGAGGGGCAGCAGGAGGACCAGCAGGAAGAGCATGGGAGGAGGAGGAACAGCAGTGGAGGAGCAGGGAGAGCACTGGAACAGTAACAGGAGCACCAGAAGCAGCAGGAGCAGCAGCAGCAACACCGCATTCCCGGCGTTCCTGGCATTCCCAGCGAACTCGATGCTTGCGATCGCTACAGCCTGCTTGTCAGCACCAAAGCATGCGTGCCAGCAACACAGCCCACCCGTGAGCATGGCGCTATACCTGAGGGAGAGCCAACACCACCCACGCGTACGTTCCACACCGTTCCGGGTGTGTGGGGGGGGGGGTCGCGACCCCGCCGTCACGGGTTTAACTACAAAAAACGTTCCACCGAAGGCCTCAGTGGCAAGGTCTACATGCGTCCACCCGCCCACTGCGGAAAACCCCTCAGGAGAGTCACTCAGAGGGAGCTCCGTCGAAAGCCCCAGCGGCAGGGTCCGCATGCGTCCCCCCGCCCATTTCTGCACACCCCTCCCGGAGATCGCGGCCCCGTGAGGAGCTTCACCGAAGGCCTCAGTGGCGGGGTCCGCATGCGTCCCCGCGCCCATTTCGGCACACACCTCGCGAGGATTGGCCACAAAAGGAGGTCCACCGAAGGCCCCAGCGGCAGGGTCCGCATGCGTCACCAAACAGATTTCGGCACATCCCCCACGAGGATCGTGGCCCCTTAAGAGGAAACTCCACCGAAGGCCCCAGCGGTAGGGTTCGCACGGCACAACCTTTGCCAGGATATCCGTCTCAATCAGTCCTTTTGTTCGTACCCATCCTTCCTCTGGCTTGCCTCACGGCACTCGCAGCTGCATATGGTTTGGCACTTCGATCGGAGACTTTGTTTTGTGAATGATGAGAAGGAGAAGAAGGAGAAGGAGGAGGAGAAGGGATGAGGGGGGGACTACTCGGGAGGAGGTGGAGGCGAAGAGGAGGAACGCACGAATCGACCAACAGGACCAATGCTGTGCGCTATCGCTTCTCCCCCCACGAAGAAAAAACGAACACAATCCGGTGTATGTTCTACTCCAGCTCATGTCTTGATGCCCCTCTGGAGCCGCGGCCGGCCCATGGCGTCCGCGAAGACACGGCGGAAAACGGTCAGCGAGGCTGCCAACAACGCAACGCTCGGAGAGGTCTCATTGAGAGAAGAGGAGGACGAAGGACAGATATCCATCGGCCTCGACAGTGGTTCCACCTTCGGGAACGCCATATCACATCACCTCGGATCTGCGCCGCAGCGCGAGGCGGGGGGGAACCACGGCGGCCGCCGGGTCGACGAGAGAACGGTGAGAGGGCAGGGGCGAGCCAACTGCATGCCTCCTCTGCCTCCTTGTCGAGCTCCTCGACGTTCAACTGCATGGCCTCGGAAGCATAATCGGATCGTTCCTTCAGCCCTCTCCTCAAACTCCTCCTCATATCTCCTCATCCTGTTCTTTTTCCGCCTTCCTCCTCCTTCCTCACCCTCCTCCTCCTCCTTTCCCCCCCTGTATTCACACTGCTGCTGTTACTCCTCATCCTCCCGTCCCTTCTCTGGCGCCTCCCATAAATGGATTAAACAAACTCTGTCATTGCATTTGTCATGCTTAATACAAGCCACAACGTCTGTGCGCGCACTCGCCCAACTAATATAAAACCCACGTGCTGTAGAAGTATCAGCCAGGGCGAACTCAAGACATACTGTTATTTCAATGACGTCTTGCTCGGCGTTCGCTGTCCCCAATCACCCCTGTCGAATACTGCAGCACGAGCCACGCGCGCGCATATCACAACATTGCCAATCCTTTGAGCGACGGCAACAGGTTCAACGAAATATATATATAAATAAACATATGTGCTTTCAATATTGGCCCAACCAGATTTTCTGCGAACCAGGCTTCCGTGTGCGTGTGTGCACACAAGAACTTGGCAACGCAAAGCCCATCCCCGCGGCATTGTACCTGTGGAACTATGACAGCATGTTCCGATGTGTGGCTGCGCGCACGGCCTCTTGATTTTTGCATATCGGCTGCGGGTGGGAGGGTGGGATGTTTGCTCGATTGCGGGGTTGGGCTACACAACAGGGGCTGCCCCCACAGCTTGCGCGACACATATTGCGCCAACTAGGATGCAGCACAGGGCGCGCTCGAACATTATTGCGCCCCCCACATGTAACACGCCCAGCGTGCAAGAGGTCACTTTGGGAGCCCAAGCTGGCAAACATGTCGAAAGTGACCCTGTCCCTCCCTCGCCCCCTTTCCCCCGTCGCCCTGTGCCTACTCTCCCCAATCTTTTCTCCCCCCATATCCCTCCCACTCTGCAACCTGCCTGGCCGCCCTTCCCCTCCTTCGCTCCGCCCTCAAAGCTTCCCTTCGCGTTCTCTTTTTCCGCACCCCCCCCGCCTCCACTCGGGCCGCAATTGACAGCGGACCCTGCGGATGAAACGTGACGGGGATGCGGAATTGTGCGTGTGTTGCTTATATATATATATATATATATGTATAGACATCCTCTTCCTATATTTTTACAAGCCCGGGCGGGGGGAAAACCCGTCACCCCCCCCAAAAAAAACCGGACTCCCGAGATCTGAGGCTTTGGGACCCTCCGGACGGGCCTCGAAGCGGCCCCCCGGGCCTCGCAGGGCGTTTTGCCAAGCCTTCCCAGCACACCTAGGGCGATCAGGGGGGTCATCGGAGACGCCCCAGAGACCCCAAACACAGCACAAGAGCGCTCCAAGAGTGACCGACGTGACCTCAAGATGGCCCAAGAGGCCTCCAGGACGGCCCCAAAGAGGCCTCCAAGAGCACTCCCAAGAAGGCCCCAAGAGGCAAAAATCATTGATTGTATGTAGGTTTTTGTTGAATTTTGGGGTTCTCCTCTTTTCGGCTTCACGACGCTCCAAGACGGCGGTCTTCTCGGCGTCCGAAGCCGCCTGGGAGGCTCCAACATCGCCCCACAACCATCCGAAAAGGCTTCCAGGCAGTCCAAGAGAGCCCCAAAACGGCACAACACGGGTCCAAGATAGCCCTCAGAGAGCCCCATGGCGGCCCAAGATGGCCCCAAGACACCTTCCGAAGCATTCCAAATCGTGACCTGGTCGTTCAGGGAGACCGCGGTTGGAGGCAGGATGGCCCGAGGAAGCCCCCAAAGGCCCCCAGAATACGCCCAGGAGGCCTCCAGAAGGCCTTAAGAACGCTTGAAACAATTTCTGTGAGGCCCCCAGAGGCTCTCCAAGGAGGAGCCTCCGCAAAAAAAGAGCTGAGGAGGATGGGGAGAATGCGCAGGGTATGGCGAAAATGAAGAAAAAGAAGCATGGAGGATAGATAACGAAGAACATTATTATAGCGGCGATGCCAGAAAAGGAAACAAGGAGTCACCACTAAATTGTCGGCTTGACTTTCCTGCTATTCCGCCTGCATACCAAATCTCAAGGACCAAGGTTAATGGCGCGAAGCGCCACTGCAGTCTTGTATATATATATATATATATACATATAGATGTCTGCTACTCCATCGTGGTCGATGTACGTCTCGTTTTGCCAACCATCGAGGCGCAACGCAATTCTAACGCGTAAAGGCTTGTGCGCTTGAGTGCGCAGGCCGGATGATTGCGACCAGCCGCGCGAGAACATCTCGTCAGTCTTCAGAAAATGACCTTAGCCGATATGCTGGTCGTAAAACTGTGGGGAACGCACTCGATCATCGAATTGCTTCTCGGAGGGCCAACTGCTGACCGCGAGCCAACGTGTTCCTGCACGCGTCTGCAGATGCAGTCTATAATTTGCGTGCCGCCGTCCCTGTGGATAGCCAAAATAATTCCACACACTTCGGGCACATGGTCTGTCTATCGTGGAGGTTCCTGGGTGTGGGGGCCGCATAATCGCGGATTGTTCCGTGCAACAACATAGTTATATTGGTTCCAAGCTTGTACGACCGAGCGCCATCGGTGTTCAAACAACACGTCGGTCCTCGAGCAACCCCTTGGCAATTGAAAGGAACCAATAGGCGATCAATGGGAATGATTGTGAACCGAAAGGCATCACTAGAATCTTGCGGATTCCATCGGGCTCCAGAATCCTCTGCAGTCCACAAAAATCAGTAAGACATCCTTATGCATTATCTGAAATCCTTACGATATAATCGGAACCAATCCGGAGCAATAGGAATCAAAAAGGAAGCAGCAGGAATGAATGGGAATCAATCAGATCAGTGGGAACCAATAGGAATCATCAATAGTAGATTGGGTTCGTGAGGAATCAATCGGGCTCACTGGGAGTTATCAGAAACCAATAGGAATCATTCGCAAACAATAGAAAACAAACTACACAACTCGAAATCGATATGACCCAATGGGAAACGATGGGGATCAATAGGAAGCAATAAGAATTACCACGAACCAATAAGAACAAATCGGAATCAATGGGGACCTTTAGGGGTTAATGTGGACCACTAGGAACAAAGTCGGAATCACTCGGAAACAATAATGGCCACTATGAATTAATGAGGACGAACGGGAATCAATATGAATCATAGGAATCAATTGGGACCAAGCGGAATCACCAATAATCAATCGGATCCCGAAAATCAATACGGATCAACAAGAAGCAATAGAAATCAATACGGACCGATGGGATGAACCGAGAGCAATATGAATCAATTGGGATCAAAAAACATAAAACAAAACCATAGAGAAAGACCAATCATAATCTACACAAATCGATCGGATCCAACCAGGATCATTACGAAACGGTAGGAGCAACTAGAAAACAATAACAACTGGGGCGCACTCAGGATACATCGATACGAGGCGTGAAAACGACCACAGCCACTGCTTTTCTTTTGTTGCCGCCTTCCAGCCCGCAGAAACAAAGCAGTGGTTGTGGTCATTTTCGTTGAGCTTGGCACCAGGGAAACGACCACAACCACTGCTTCTTTTTCGGCCGGCTGGAAGGCGGCGCAGACAAGAAGCAGTGGCTGTGGTCATTTCCCGTCCCGCAATCGAAATCGATCGAAACCAATGAGACTCAACAAACATCAATAATAACCAGTCGGAACAAGTCGGCACAACAATAAACAAACATAACCAAGCGGAACCAACAAGAACCAACCGGAATTACTATGAATCAGTGGACGCCAATCCGAACCAATGATATTCACTCAGACTAATGGAAATCGATGGCCCGGGGAAGCAAGCTGGAAAAAATAAGGGTCAATAGAGACCACTTGAATCATGAAGAACCAATCAAGAACAATGGTAGTCAATAGATCTTAGCCGGGACACATAAGAATCAGAAGAAAGTAGAAACAATCCATATAAGCTCGGAGTAATGAATGGGTATCATGGGGATCCGTAAAAATCCATAATTCTGAATTGGAACTTCTGGGGATCAATAAAAACCAATTTGGAATGAATTGGAACCGTTCGAAATCAATCAATCAAGAAGAATCATTCGGAATCCGTGGAATCAATCAAGTCCAAAGAGAAACCATCGGAAATAAGAGGAACCAACAAAGATCGTTAGAATCCGTCGAAACGGAATCAATAGGAAATAACAAAAGTCAATAGGAATCACCCGCGACCGATAGGCATCAGTCAAAAACATAAGCAATCAATAAGGATAGGGGTCACAAGGATCGAAAGAACCAATCAAACTCCATAATAATCATTAAGAACCTATAGGACTCAAACGGAATCAAAAGAAATCGATGGGAATCACTGGGAATCAATGGGGATCAAGTGGGACCAGTAGGAACCAAAAAATAGGAATCAACAAAAACCAATAGGGCTCATAATTGTCAGTCGGTCTCCATAGGAAACAACTAAAATCAAAACCAATCCATCTGAACCCAAAGGAACCAAGAACAACCAAAACGAATCCATAAGAAACACTGAGAATCAGAAACCTCAGGAGGAACCAAACGGAATCCATAAAGAAGAATCCATCAACGTCTGTAGCTGGGGCCTTGGGCAACTGTGGCCTTAAAAACATATTTCATATACAAGCGAAGATTCTTCATTGGCTCACATATTCGCACTGTTAAAGCATGTGTTCCCGACCGTGGTTTCCCTGTTCCTGCACAGCCTAAACCCAATTCGGGAGCCTATGTTCCAATTGTCTTTAACATTCGGAAGCATGAGCAACTTGCATCTTCAACTGGAAGCCTTCGCACAGACAACAAGAAAAACAACAACAGCAACAGCAACAAGTCTGAGGCCTCATGAATGCGCAGCAAATCTGCAAAATACTCCATGTGTAGCGGACCGGACTAAAATCCCGAGGCCTTGGGGACATGTGCATGTTTGTTTGTGTTTAGTTGTTTTTGTATGGTGCCTTGTCTCCCGCATTGGTTTCGAATGTGCAGGCACAGAGAAAACAAGTTCCCGTCTTTCAAGAACAATTGCTTTCATTTTACAACGCAAGGTGTCCATTGATTCCTGTATAAGACTTGTAGAACAACTGCTCCCGATTGTGGTTTCAATGTGTCTGTACAGCCAACACCGAAGTCGGGAGCACACAGCTAAAAAAAAGTGAAAGCAATCAATGGACAACGTGTCTTTATATGAAAATCTTTGCTGTCGACGGATGAGAACTGGTCGTCCTTGTGCCTCTACAGTCATAAGAAATGAAGGAAACAAGGGAAATAACTAACAAACAAGCAAAACACTCTTCCGAGGCCTCAATTTTTTTTGGGTCCGTGCAAAAAAAGTTGAAGGTTCTCAAACTGGCTTCCATTAATGGGAATTGCATATTGATTCCCATGTGTGGCGGATTTGCAAGCCGATTCCCCTTTTGGTGGGTTCACAGCGTGGTTCCTCTTATTCTCAACGCAGAGAGCAAGCAGAGTGAGAGAGAGAAAGAGTGAGAGGGGGTGACAGAAGAAAGAGGAAAGGAGAGAGAGAGAGAGGGGGAGATACAAAAACAAGAGTGGACATTTTCTATGTATACCGAAATTTCTTTGTAAGTCACCTCACCCGTTCTTTATTTGCTCTCGCCCTCGATTTACACGTTAGTGCGCCACCCAATTATTTATTGGGGTGCGCTGTGATTCGAATTTCGAGGCGGACCCGATGGCGTGGCGACAAGAACGCCATCTGGAGGCTTCGAAAAAACGTTGAACCAAAATCGCGTGCCCTCTTCGCTGGATCCTGCGCAAGCAACTGTCATAATGGCCTCCGCGTCGATTTTCATACCGTTTGGATCGTTCAACCGTGAACGATCACGCATTCCCGTTCAACACCGGCCGATTCCTGACCACTGGCCGCGTTCATTCCAAACGCCCGCGCCAATGTCGCCGCCGTGTCCACACGACGTAAAGCTACCGCTATGGAAGAACATTTGTTTCTTGGTGGTCGTTTTCTCCACTCCAGGATCTGTTCTTCAGGCCGTCTGGGTTGCGACGGCTTCTGAATGCCGACGTCACACCCAAGCCTCCGAAGATTGCAGAAGCTCCTAGAAGCCTGGCGGCTTCCAGCGGCTCCCAACAGCATACAAACCAACAAATATATGAGACATCGTAAACGCTTAAGAATTAGGTGTTGATCTCTGGCGGTGGAAGTTCTGCGGCTTAAGTTATGTGATGTGAGCGATGCTGTGGCAATTATGTGGTGTGAGCTATGCGGTGAAAGCTCTTCGGTGATGGTTATGTGGTGGTAACTGTGCGGTGTAAACTATGTAATGCGGGCGATGCAGTGGTAACTACAGGAAGTAATACATATGGTGCAGGACAGGTGTTATGAGCAATATGTTGGGAACACCGTTGTGGAAGTTATGCGAAGAGAAATTACCGGTGTAAGCTATATGGCGTGGGGCTCACGAGCGCCCACGATGCAGCATGGGCGGGCACGTTTTTTGCGAGGCTCCTGATTGGAAAACCTCTTGCGGGCCTAAAGGATGCCTTTCAAAAGTTTTGGGGACCTCTGGAGGTCTCCTGGGCGCCTCTCTGGGCCGTCTTGGGGGTCCTTTTGAAGCCAGTTTGGACCGTCTTGCGTCCCTCTTGGGTCGTGCTAAGGCCTCCTTCAGGAATTTGGACCCTGTACGGGCCTTTTTGGGGTCAGCTTGGGCTCTTCTGGGGACCTCCCATGGCCCTCGTGGGTCTCTCTCGGGAGCCCTTTGGGGGCCTCGTGAGTTTCTTTTGGGCCGTCTTGGGGCAGTCTTGGGGCCCTCTTCGGTTGCCTTGAAGCCCTCTTGGGCCGTCTTGGGGAGATCTCGGAGGCCTCTTGGGCCGTCGTGAACGCTGCTACGGCACAGACAGCGAGTATGCGGAAACTGCATGTTTTCCAACGGGAATGGGCAGCTGTCTGTGTGCCTCCTGGGGGCCCTCCGGAAGGACTCTTGAGGCGTTTTGGGGGCCTCTTGGGCTGTCTTGGGGGCCTCTTGGGCCGTTTTGAAGCCGTCTTGCGCTGTCTTGGGGCTCTCCTCTCCTGCGCCTCTTCGTCCACTTTTTTGATTTGTTTGGGTCAGCTGGGCAAGGCCTGGCAAGGCGCCCTGGGAGGCGCGGCAGGGCTGGAAAACCTCTTCCAAGGGCGTCCAGGGCGAACTCCAGATCCTGGGGAATCTGCTTTGGGAAGGGTTTTTCTCCCGCCCCCTAGCTTGTAAACGTCGAGGAATATGTATATAGGTGTATCTATATACTTGAGCAGGTCGAAATAATTTCCTCTTGATGCCCACATGACACATGCGAAGTGTCGTTGGCTTTAGCGGATGCGGACGCAACGATCACCCCACGCTCGCGTCGAGGTGGGGTGCGGCATATGTGCCAGGCCCGCTGTGGCGCTCAATCGCCCACATGTTATGGACGCTGCGGGAATTGGCCGGGGCAGCTGTGGCACTCGAGCAACGACATGTTATGGGAGGGGTTCGGAGAGGTGGCCAGGCCCGCTGTGGCGCTCGACCTCCCGTTTTGGGCACCGCGGTCGTTTTTCGTCCTCTTCCCTCCTCCCTCATCCACCTCTTCCGTCCTCCCTCCTCGTCCGTCTCCCTACTCGGTAGCCCCTCCCCCGTAGAATCATAGCTTGGGCTGCAGGTCCAAGGCTCCGTGGATCCATTTCCCCTTGGGCCCCTTGTGTTCATCACTATTATAAACATATTCCAACAAAAGAATTGGATCCACGAAACTTCCAAGCCAAAAAATTGGATCCAGAAGGCACGGCAATTGGATCCACGTGACTCTAGCACACACGTAATTGGATCCAAATGGATCCATGCGTTCCCATGCAAAAAGGAAACAACTTTCGGCCTGGGGATGAAGAGTTTTGCGCCCCTTCTGCCCTTTCAGCACGCTGCGCGTGTTGGCGGGGGAGACGGGGGTCAAAACCCCACTGAAGAGTTTTGCACCCCTTCTGCCCTTCAGCACGCTGCACGCGTTGGCGGGGGAGACGGGGGTCAAAACCCCACTTGAGCAGGCCGGGCAATTTTCCTTTTGAGGCCCACATGACACATGCGAAGTGTCGTTGACTTTAGCGGATGCGGACGCAGCGATCATATCTCGCTCGCGTCGAGGTGGGGTGCAGACATGTTGTGGGAGGCTGCGGGAGTTGGCCAGGCCCGCTGTGGCGCTCAAACACCCACATGTTATGGACGCTGCGGGAGTTGGCCGGGGCAACTGTGGCACTCGAATCATGAAGACACGGACATTGGATCCACGTGACTCTCGCACACACGTAATTGGATCCAAATGGATCCATGCGTTCCCATGCAAGACGAAGACACTTTCGGCATGGGGATGTATATAGAGATAGAACAACTAACAACAACCGTATATCGATCGCAAATGCAGGGCTTACCATGTGTATGTATACGTGTATGTGTACACAAACATACGCACGTCTACTCATACGGTCGTACACGCCAGATATTTCTCAGAGAAACCGTGAAGGTGTGGCGCGGCAAGATGTTCATTCATGTTGGCTTGAGAGCCTGTCATGGGGCCCTGAGGCGGCCGACGACGACGACAGACGATGGGCAAGAACAATCCTCATCGGATCGTGAGCTCGGATCGAATCGAACTGTGTCGGAACGGGCTGCATCGGCACGGAATCGAAATTGAATCAGATCGGCCACGCCAAGATGCACGACAACACCATGCAAACATCGGGCCGCATCGGGTCGCCCGAATATCGAACTCGAGTCAGGCCGAGCTGGTCGAAACCGATGTCGAATCAGATCGATCGGATCAAAGTGGGCCCTGATAAAAGACGGACGACGGACGGCGATGATGACGGACGGCGACGACGGACGACCGACAGCGATGGCCGCGACGGACGAGGCACGGACGACGGACGGCCACGACGACCACCGACAGCGCCTCTTCCGAACCCAACGTGCTCCTCTCTGAGGGTTGGGGGCAAGTGCAGTCATCGTGCTGCCCTTGGGCGCGCTGAAGAAGGAACGAAGGGGACTTTCTGGCCACGGCGAGCATCGGCCACGAATAGGTTCCACAACCCAGGTCTAGGGAACGGCCCGATAGCCATGGCCCCTTCTGAACCCAAAGCGGTCCTCATCTCAGCTATAGACCCTCTTTCTCATTATTACACTGTGCAATAGACTCTCAACCACAAGAAACCTTCCACAAGAAACCCAACCCTAAGACCCCAGGACGTCCATTTATCTTTGATGTGGTAACATGGCAAAAAACATCGAAACCCAAGAAACCAAGGGCACACTGGAGGCAAGCAGGGTGTTTCTTGGCATGGGTGTCCACTGTAGGGAAGCCGCCGACGACGACGACGGACGACGCACGACGGACGAGGCACGGACGACGGACGGCGATGACGACCACCGACAACGTGCTCCTGCCTTAGCTCAGCATCTTGGCCGTATACAACCGATCAGACCCATGTTGCGTAAACACACGAAACAAATGGCCCTAAACGTCCGCCGGTTGTCCAATGAACAATGTGTGTACGACTGTTTCTGATGGCCCCCTGGCCCTCGGAGAGGCAGGGACACCACGGCTGTAGGCATGGCGAGGGAGGGCGCCTTGCCAACCACCTCTTTCGATGCCGCCTGCACCTTGTCGACGAGCTCGCCTGTGGCCTTGGCCGCCTCCGCGGCCGCGTCGATGCTGCCCTGAAGCGCCAGGGCTGAGCTGTGCCAATCGGGAAGAGCCGCCCACGATCTATACCTCTCACGACCACCGCTCACGTCATTCTCCTCCTCCCCCTGCCCATCCTTCTCTCATTGGTGGATGCTCCCACCCTGCCACCTAGCCAGCCGATAGCAAGCCAACCGAGGCCCTCCCGTTCTACATCTACAGAGGCAAAACACACAATCAACGCTTGTGCTCTCGATATTGCGCGTCCTGCCGCCCACGTCGCAGAAGGCGTGGCAGAAACGGGACGGGGGCGCACCTCCCGCGCGAGCGGGCGAAGCGTCTCTTCGCCCCGGCACCGCGCCCAGCCTCCGGGCGCATCGGACTCCCGCTTTGGCGCGGCACGCACTGCTCGCACGCAAGATCGTCGACGCGCGACGGGGCGTAAATGTCACTCTCGCCTCGGCGCCGCGCAGGTTTGGCTTGAAAGCGGCGCTCCCGCCTCGGACGCCTCTGTGCGGACTGATTCGGGGCTTCTCGGTGGCCTCGAGGCCCCTGCTCGGCAGGCACACGCGTCGCTCGTGGTTCGCGGGGGCGCTTCTTGGACTTGGAAGGAATGCTTCCAGGGAGATGTGAGGGATCCTGGGACGGCAGGGCGTCTTGCAACATCGCTACAGCGTCCTGGCCTTACTCTGATATCCCTCCTCCTCCTCCTCCTCCTCCTCCTCTTCCTCCTCCTCCTCCTCCTCCTGCCCCTCCTCCTCCTGCCCCTCCCCCCTCCTCCTCCTCCTCCTCCTCCTCCTCCTCCTCCTCCTCCTCCTCCTCCTCCTCTCCTCCTCCTCCTCCTCCTCCTCCTCCTCCTCCTCCTCCTCCTCCTCCTCCTCCTCCTCCTCCTCCCCAGCCCTCTCCTCGCCCTGCTCCTTGCTCTCCTAATCTTCCCTCCCTTTCGTCCTCCCCGTCCCCTCCTATCCCGTCCGTCCTCCCTCCTTACACCCCATCCGTCCTCCCCTCCGGATCCTTCCTCCCCTCCGGCTCCCCGGCTCCTCTGGCTCCTCCGGCTCCTCCGGCTCCTCCAGCTCCTCCTCCTCCCTCCTCCTCCTCCTCGTCCTCCTCCTCCTCCTCCTCCTCCTCGTCCTCGTCCTCGTCCTCGTCCTCGTCCTCGTTCTCGTCCTCGTCCTCCTCCTCCTCCTCCTCCTCCTCCTCCTCCTCCTCCTCCTCTCCTCCTCCTCCTCCTCCTCCTCCTCCTCCTCCTCCTCCTCCTCCCCCTCCTCTGCCACCCCCCTCCTCTTCCTCCTCCTCCTCCTCCTCCTCCTCCTCCTCCTCCTACTTCACATCTTCTCCGCTTCTCCTCCTCCTTCTCCCCTCTCCCCTCGTTGAGCGCTTTGCTCACGAAGTTGGAGCGCCTAGGGTCCCGAAGAAAAGAAGCCTCGAGACTAAACCCCACACTCCAGCATTGGCATTCAGAAGCTCGCACACTGCGTCCAGGTCAGGAGTCGCAATTAACAAGCAGTCTCGGCCCGTTGGGGCCTGGTGGGTCAGACACTTCTTTGGGAGGCTACCAGAGCACTCTTGGGAAGTCACTCGGGGGCTCTTCGGAAGCATTTTGCGGGGATCTTGGGGGCCTCGGGGGAGCCTCGTGGATTCCTCTTGGGGAGCCTCACATGTGGGTCTCTTGGAAGCTCGTGGGGCCATCCTGGGGTCATCCTGGGGCGAAAGGGTCGAAATGTGTGTTCGGCTTGCCCTATGGGCTGTCTTGGGCCATCCTGGAGGCTCCTTGGGACGTCTTGGCGCCCTCGTCCTGGGTCCCTCGTGCAGGCCTCTTGGGCCATTTTAAAGCGATCGTTGTGGGCCGTCTCGAGCGGTCGGAAGCCCGTCAGGGTGGGGGTGCTCAAATCTAACACACAACATCCAAGGGCCATACCATATGTTGCCCTCTTAGGGCTCTTTTGGGGGTCGTCTTGGTGCCCTCTTGGGGCGTTTTAGAGCTCTCTTCGGCCTACTTGACGCCATCTTGGCCGTCTTCGAGCGCTCTTGAACCATCTCGGGGCCTTATTGGCCCGTCGTGGCGGCCTCTTGGGTCTTGAAAACCTATCCGGGCCCTCTTAGAGATCCCCCCGGGGGGGGTCAAAATGACCCCTCGATGTCATCGAGGTAAGCGGGCACCTGAGGGGAAGGGGTTAGAGGGAGGATAAGAAGGTGGAGGGATGATGGCGGTCAGGCTGCGAGCTGTGAACGCACTCGGGAGATTCGGAGCAGCGGCAGTGGCTCGACAACGCCTACACCGTGCTGACACATGGCAGACCCCGGAGCCCCCGGGCACGCCAGCCTTGACTGCCCTTGAGGGGACCCCCCTCACTTCTGCCCGCCTGCGCCGGGCCTGCGCCGATTTTCCGCTGCCCTCGAGTTTCGGGTGTTGATAAAGAGGTGCCCCTGGCCCAGGGCCCGCCCAGCTTTTCGCTTCTCGTTGGAGCCCCCTGCGGGCCCTCTGGGCCTCGCGAGGGGTGCTCTGGAGGACGTGGGGGCCTCCTTCGAAATGCTGGGGGGGGGGGTTCCCGGGGAGGTCCCGCCTGTGGTGAGGGAAGGAAACGCCCCACCCCCCCCCCGGGGAGATGCCAGCGGGGTCTCCTGGGAGGTCCCGCCTTCGGGGTCGGCGGCACAGGCCGTAAGGCCCTCACAGTCCTGGAGGGCACCTTGGGCCAGGGGCACATCCAGCAACACCCGATCGCTCTGCTTCCGCAGGGCCCTCCGCGTGCCTTCCGCCGAGGGCGAGAGGTCGACCCACGTCGCCGCCTCGAAAGTGAGACCTATTGCTGGGAGGACCGCAGCGCGGCGGAGTGCCAGAGGTCGCCCTCTGCGGGACACGGTGCCCAGACCTCCGACATGTCTTGATTTTTCCGATGCGGGCTCCAAGGAGCTCTGGACCCCTCCCTTTCTCCACTTTGCCAAGACCGGATCGTCATTCTGTGTACAGCCGAAGATGTAATCAAAAAACTATCACTCAAGAAAGCTGGGCCAACTTCCCGGAAGCGTCTTAAAACAAGCCTAAGGTAAGCCAACTTCTGGCGTTCACGCTGGAGGAGCGAACGTGCTCAAGAGACTGGGACAGCTTTCTGGCAAGTTGATGAAGGAACGCTGGCCCAGCTGTATGGGAGGAACTTTCTTATTAGTCAGATGCTCGACTGCAGCTTTTGGACGGCCCCCGGGGTCCGACGAGGGCCCCCAGAGGCCGAAAGCGGCGAAAATCCTGCGCGTACAAGTGTTCAACACGCTGGAGGTCTGGGTGTCTCGATGGAGGGACCACGGGCCCGGGCGTTGCCGAGGTGCGCGGGTCGAGGACCTGGCGGCCGAGCTCACAGCGGATGCCCTGGCTCCCCGCTCGCCGTCGCTCGGACGTCCATTCCCCGTGCAGTTGTCGCTTTCGCGCGTTTTTTTCGCTCGATGATCCAATATACTCCAGATTTCGTAAGAAAGGGAGGGGGGTCTCATTTCGGGGGGGGGGGTCTCTTCCAGGCTATCCTGGAGGGCCTGGGGGGTCTGGGGACGATGTTTTGGAGGATTCTCCCACGGGGGAGGTCTGAAATGGCTTGTCTTGGAGGGTCCAGACCCCCTCCCTTTCATTACGAAATCTGGAGTACTCCTCGATGGTCCCCGCCGACAAAAAATGCACACGTCCGAGCAATGCCGAGCCCACGGGCACCTCGGAGCCACGCCGGGACCTGCACGTCTCCAGGGTGGGGGGGGGGTGCGAGGCGGGCAGCGGGCCACTCCCTGCTCCCGGCGCCCGCCTGCACCTCCTTCTTCAGCTCTTCCATCTTCGCCTCCTTCTCCAACCGGGCCTGCACGGAGGAGACGACGAGGAGGAATAGGACGAGGAGGAGAACGAGGAGGAGAAGGACGATGAGAACGAGGGGAAGGAGGAGGAGGAGAAGGAGGAGGAGGAGGAGGAGAAGGACGAGGAGGAGGAGGAGGAGGACGAGGAGAAGGAGGAGGACGAGCAGGAGAAGGAGGAAGAATACGAGGGGGATGAAGCATGGGGAGGAGCAGCACGATCACCAGGGTAACAAGCCCACGATGACGAAGGAACAAGAGGAGCAAGAGGGAGGAGGACAAGGCATACCAGCAGCAGCACGTGGGAGGGGGAGGGGACGGAGGCGCAGGAGGAGCGCAGCCTGGGAGAAACAGGACGAAGACGGCGAACATGAGGCGGAGGAACACGAACAGAGGAGGAGGAGGAGGAGGAGGAGGAGGAGGAGGAGGAGAAGGAAGAAGAGAAGACTTGAGGGCAACAGCAACATGGCTCCAAATGGCTAGGGAGACGGTCGGACGACAACATCGGAGGCAACGAATGACTGTCGGGGATCAGAATGGTGCGGTGACAGACCGTGCAGTGACATCCAAATCCCCAAAGACCTCACCGCACGGTCCGTCACCGCACCGTCGGAGGCCCCAGTCGCCAGAGACATCCTCGGAGAACGACCCAAGTCCCAAAACGGTGCGGTCACCCCGAAGCCCCACCGAATCACCCGACGGTGTGGTCACCGCACCGATTAGGGGGCCCCCGGGACGGCCTGCGCAGAGACAGAAAACCAACAGAGGACCCCGGGGGCCACGACGAACCCGCGCGGAAGCCCTCGGTGCACTGCCCCCCCGGCGGACTAACCACGAGGCTCGGGGGGAACGCGGCCGCCTGGCGGGCGAGTGCACTCCGCTGGTGGGACGGCCAGTATCGGCTAGTACCAGTCCTCTTTTCAAGCTGCATCCCGAGCCGCAGCGTGGCCCATACAGGGCCGACCGGTAGGGAGGAGTGCTTACGGCGTCCCGTGCGCGAAGTGTCCCCAGCTTGTCGCTCCATTCTGTGAGCAAGGACCAGCCGTCCTGGCATTTCTAAACGCCTACCACGACATGTGATGGGAACCAAAAGGTTCGACTAGCCAAAATAATGATCGTACGATATAAAGCCGATGTCTTCAAACAAAGCGGCTTCAGCCAGAAATGTTCTAAAAACCTTTCGTGCACGCCGCAAAATATTATTATAGCATTCTTGGGTGCGCCTATAGGCAAGCCAAGAAGCCTCGTCACTGCCTGAATTCTGGACCCCCTGAGGCTTCGTGCGGGGTGCTCTGGAGGCCGTAGGGGCCTCATTGGGAATCCTGGCAACACTTTAGGCCTTACGGACACCCCTGGCAACACCCGAACCAGAGGCATTCGCACTGCCGCTTGAAACTCTCAACGAGTCCCATCCAGCTGGAAACGGTCCTGGCCCTCCCCGGGGGCCGCGAGAGAAAGTTTGCGCGTGTACGCAATGGACGAGTCTGCTTCCCCCAAGGCATTCTGAGCCCGTTCGGAGTCGGAGTCCATCTGACCGCCGACTGGCCGGACTCCAGACACAACTCTGCCGGCAATCGAGCCCAATCCGCTGCCTCCCCCGCATCCGGACGGGATCGGACGCTGAGCGGGCTCGGACGCCAAGCGGGGCTCCGATGGGTACCCAGAGATCCGATGCGCTGTTTTTTCCACACGGGGCCCCCAGACGTCTGGAACCCCTCCCCAGGGGACCGGCTTCTCATCCCGAGTCGGCTCTTGACTGCCCCGGGGGCCCAGCGAGGGCCCACACGGCGAAGCACCTCCGACTCGGCTTTGTCCACACATGCCTGGGAGGCCCAGAGGCCCGCACTCCGACGTCGTAATTATTCTTCTTCGGCCCGCGCGCCGCGGGAGCTCCTGGCCCCCATCCCTGCATGGGGCTCGTGCCTCGTCCTGGGCCGCCTCTCGAGGCCCCCCTGGGAGGGCCCCTCTGGAAGGCCCCTCTAGGAGGCCCCTCTGGGAGGCCCCCTCTGGGGAGGCCCCTCTGGGAGGCCCCTCTGGAAGGCCCCCTCTGGGGAGCCCCCTCTGGAAGGGCACCTCTGCGAGGCCCCTCTGGAAGGGCCCCTCTGGAAGGCCCCTCTGGAAGGCCTCTCTGGAAGGCCCCCTCTGGGAGGCCCCCTCCGGGAGGCCCCCTCTGGGAGGCCGAGGTCGTGAGCACGAGCGCCCGCCGCGGACCTTCTCGCGGCGCCCAGCGGCCTGGAGCTCTCCCCACGCAGAGTCGAGCCCTCCCCATACTTCCAAGGTTGAAGGGGCCCTGGGACACACAAATGAATACACACAAATAAAAGGATTCCCCATATTTCCGCATATTTTTGGGGTTTCTGTCTTCCCCCCCATGGAACAAGATCTCAATCTGGCGCGGACTCGCCGTTTTCGGCCCCTGGGGCCCTCGCCGGGCACCGGGGAAGGGGTCGAGACGATCGGATCGAATCGAACTGTGCATCGGCTCGGGCCGCATCGGCACAGAGTCGGACATCTTTTCGGAGCGGCCGCGCCAAGATGCGCAACAACGCCATCTGCAAGCATCGGGCCGCATCGGATCGCTGGGAGTTCAAAATCGAATCGGATCGAACGACATCAAGCCGGATCGATCGGATCGAACTGGACTCTGCCTTGGGCGCGCCATCTCAGGGGCTTCTGTGAGCGGGAACAATGATGAGAGAGGGGGAGGATCAAGATCGGGGCAGGGCCCGCGGGAGTTCGCCTGCCAGACCGCTGCCGAACGGGAGTGACACCATGGGACTCTGGGGGGCGCAACCTGAAGTCGCCAAGCCTGCTAGCGCGGCCCGTGGATCACAACGGACGCCGCACCGCCCCTGCGAACACCTCCAATTCAGCAAGCAGCCTACGAGGGGCCCGCGGACTATGGCAAAGTCTACTACCGACTCTAAATGACCCTTTCCTTTGCACTTAGCCTTGCGAGAGAATAGGAGAGGGACAAAGGAAGAAGACGAGGAGACTGAGCAGGAGGACGAGCCATGCATACCCCGCTCACCGAACCCCTGAGGTGGATCTCCTCCTCCTCCTGGAGGCCTCCAAAGGCCTCCTGACCCCACGAGGCTCCCCAGAGTTCCCTGGGCGCCCCTAAAGTCTATAACAGAGCACAACAAAACCAAATCCTGCCCAAAGCTTCGCCATCCGAGAAGCGGACCCCAAACCTCAGGGTTCCCTGCTGTTCCCCTCCCCCTCCCGCGTCTGAAGAGAGCTCCCCCTCACAGGATGTCGGCTGACTTCCGCCGCCCCCCTGCAACGGCAGCGAGAACGACGACGACTGACCCTTCTCCCCCTTCTCCTCCTCCTCCTCCTCCTCCATCGCCCTCCTCCTCCATCCTCCACATCTCATCTCCCCCTCCTCTCGTCTCCTCTTCTCTGCCATTTTCTCATCTCCTCTCCTCCTAGACGGTCCCCTAGGGACGACGACGACGAGCGAGACGACGAGTGCGGCGACGGGCGACGACGAGGACGAGCACCACGACGAGGACGATGACGAGCGCCTTCTTACGCTCGGCGTCCATGGCCTGCTCGCGCGCAATCCCGACCTGGACCTTGCGCGGGCGTCGCAGTCACGCGCCAGCGCCGAGCGTGTAGCGAGAGGGGGATCAGAGGAGGGGGGGTCTGAATATTTGCTCTGCACCCTCGCGGGTCGAGGGGGAAGCTTAACATTTGCTTTTCGTTTTTGGTCATTGCCAGGTCGCCTCTGGAGGCCTCCAAAGACAACCTATAGGGGGTCCCCAAACGGGGTGGTGACCACACCGTGCGGTGAGTCGGTGGGGGTTCGGGGTCACAGCACGGTTTTGGGACTCGGGTCCCTCTCCGAGGACGTCTCGGGCGACTGGGGCCTCCGAGGTCACAAAACCGTGCGGTGACGGACCGCGCGGTGAGGTCGTGGGGGATTTCGAGGTCACCGCACGGTCTGTCACCGCACCGTTTCGGGACTAGGACCTTAAGCGGTCAGGATCCAGGGCGGGAGCAAAACTTACCAGGCAGAAGAGGACCAGTTGCGGGGGCAAATCGAGGAGAGGATGGGAGCTCTGCGAGGCCATGTGCAGGACGGGAGAGGAGGGAAGATGGCAGGGGAGAGACCCTCAGTCTCTGGAAGTCGTCTCTCTTCACGCCCTTGCTGTCGCCTTCGACGAGGATCTTGAAGATCTGCGCCATGGCGGCGTCTCCCACCTGAAACCGAATAGCGGCAAAACAGACCGTCGAAAGTGGCTGCCCATGGGACGCGGGACACTCTTGCGGATGCGAGTCTTTCTGCCGTGGCGCCAGCGAAGCGTGTAGCCACGACGTCGCGCTGAACGCGGAACCACATTTCGATGCCTCCCATCATCCCTCTCACCTCTCCACTGCTCCTGCAAACCTCGTCAGGAACGCTCTAGTGAAACCTGACGAGACCCTGCGCGATCTCGCTTCGGAGATAGTTTATGTCCCGGCACGCCCCCCAGTATCCTTCTCTCCTACTCTCTCTTCCACTTACTCCATTATCCTGCTGCTGCTGCTGCTCAGCAGCCTCCTCCTGCTCCTCATCTTCGTCATCCTCCTCCTTCTCTTCCTCCTCCTCCTGCTCCTGTTCAGGACGGTCAGCGAGGCATCCCATGCAGGCCAGGACAGAGAGCTGCCTGGCCGTACATCCATATGATCGCAAAGGTGCCCTATATGATCTCAAGCCCTACCGAGGCATGCAACTTGGAGCCCCCCTCCAACGCGCTTAACCTTAACCTCCTCCTCATCCTCCCCCTCCTCCTCACCTCCTCCTCCTCCTCCTCCTCCTCCTCGTCCTCCTCCTCCTCCTCCTCCTCTCCTCATCATCACCACCACCACCACCACCACCACCACCACCACCATCATCATCATCATCATCATCATCATCATCAGCAGCAGCAGCAGCAGCAGCAGCATCATCATCATCATCATCATCATCATCATCATCCATCATCATCATCATCATCATCCACCACCACACCACCATCATCATCATCATCATCATCATCAGCATCAGCATCATCATCATCATCATCATCATCATCATCATCATCATCCCCCTCTTCCTCCTCCTCCTCCTCCTCCTCCTCCGCCTCGTCCTCCTATACCTCCTTCTTCTCCTCCTCCTGCTCCCCCGCCTCCTCCACCTCCTCCTCTTCTTCCTCCTTGCTCTCCTCCTCCTCCTCCTCATCATCATCATCACCATCAGCATCAGCATCAGCATCAGCATCATCATCAGCAGCATCACCATCAGCATCATCATCATGAACAGCATCATCATCATCACCATCAGCATAATCAGCATCATCAGCATCGTCATCACCATCGTCATCCTCTTCCTCCTCCTCCTCCTCGTCATCATCAGCATCATCAGCATCACTATCAGCATCCTCAGCATCATCACCAGCAGCATCCACCGCATCATCATCACCACCACCATCATCATTTCATCAGCATCAGCATCATCAACCTCATCCTCCTCATCATCATCATTACCATCATCATGCTCATCCCCATCCCCATCCTCATCCTCATCCTCATCATCCTCAGCCTCCTCATCATCATCCTTATCATCATCATCAGCATCAGCAGCATCATCATCATCATCATCGTCATCATCACCATCATCATCATCATCACCACCATCATCATCATCATCATCATCATCATCATCATGGTTACCATCATCTTTACCATCATCATCATCATCAGCAGCATCAGCATCAGCCTCATCATCATCATCATCATCATCATCATCATCATCATCATTTCTCCCTCATCCTGCTTCTCCCTTCTTCTCGATCCCTCCCCTCTCCGTCCTCCGACCTCCTCATTGGCTGTGCCAGAGGGGCCGCCGCGAACTTGTGGGTGGTCCTCGCATACGTCTTCACCTCGCCAAAGCGAGGGGGATGAGGAAAGAGAGAGAGAGAGAGAGAGGAGGAGGAAGAGGAGGAGGAGGAGGAGGACGAGGAGGAGGAGGAGGAGAAGGAGGAGGAAGAGGAGGAAGAGGAGGAGGTCGAAGGACGGGGAGGAGGGATGCGGGGGGGCGGGGGGAAAAGAGGTGGGGGAAGAGGGATGCGGGAAGGGAAGAGAATAGCAAATCATTGTGTGATGGTTGCGCGAGGGACGGGGAAGCAGGTGGGCAAGATAGGTGAGGGGGGGAGAATGGTCATTATCGTCTGCTGCTGTTATTGAGGGGGGGGGCAGAGGGACAGGAAGGGAAAAGAGATGGGGCAAGAGAAGGAGGATGACGACGAGGAGATGTGGGATGATACGGGAGAGGGGGACGAAGGTGAAACGGGGAAGTAGACACCGGAAACTGATAATGGGGTGTTTTTGGTGGAGCATGAGGGGGTTAGTTTTACCTGCCAGCTGCTGCATCTGAAGCTTCGAACGAACGAGCTGCAAGGACTGGTTGGAAGAACGAGAGGGGACACACGAGTAGAAGATGCTGGGAGAAGCGGGCGAGGGGGACAAGGCGACGACACAGGACGACGAGAGCGACGAGGATGTGGATGATAATGAGAGTGGGGTCGATGATGTGTAGCACTTGCACCCTATCGTGTTCACCTTCTTATCTACGTATACGCCGTACATGAAAGAGGCGGGGCGACGGAAGAGGACGCGGAGAACGAGCTCGCGGGGGGGGGGGGCATGACGGCAGACAACGAGAGGGGAAGAAGAGAGGGGATGTGAGGAGTTTCAGGAAGCAGGAGGCAGAAGGTAGCGAGCGAGGAGAAATGGCCAGAGTTCCGAAGTCATGGCAGAACATGCCGTATCATCCCCCTCCTCGTCCCCCTCCAGCTCCTTCCGTCCTCCTCTTCCTCCTCGTCTTCTCCTTCTTCCTCTCTTCTTAATATTATCATTATCGCCATTATTATGAATATTCCTCCTCCTCCTCCTCCGCCCTCCTCTTCCTCCTCCTCCTCCTCCTCCTCCTCACCCTCCACCTCCTCCTCCACCCCCCCCCCTCTTCCTGGGTTCCTACTCCGCCCACTGCTGCTCAACCAGTGGTCGCCCGTGCACCCTGGCAGAATCGAATACGACACCCATCAGGCCTCGTCGTCCACGTCAGCGGCCCTGGCTCCTCCAGGAAACGCCCGCTCGCCAGCAAGATACGACGCCGCGAGCGGCCAGGCGCCCCTGGGCGGGCAGAAGGCAGCTGCGCTGCGAGTCCCGGGAGAAGCGTTGTACCCGGCTGCGCGCGCCATCGGCGCACGCAGCCGCCTGGCAGCTGTCCGCGGCGGCAAGCTCGCTGGGCCACGGCCGCCGCGCTCTGGGCCGGGAAGGCCTCCGCGCCCTCGCCGAGCCGGCCGAAGATCTCGTGGACCGCGGGCCAGCCGTGGTGGCCACGGCACGGGCGGATACCTCTCCCGTGTTTCTCCACCTCCGCGGCCCGTGCCGTGCTGCCCACGGCCTGAGGCGTAGCCGGCTGGGAGCGCTCCGCGGCCAGGTGTCTCTGGGACGCCGTGGCACCACGCGTCGACAAGCCACCCCTGCGAGACCCCCTGGGATAACTCTGGCGCGAGCACGTCCCAACGCACGTGCCCCCCGTCTCCGCCACCCCTGTCTCCGCCATGATATCACAATAGCTTGGCGGTCCTGGTACGCAACGCGCAACGCGTAGAGTGTTGACACGGAGCTCAACTCGAAGATTGAAAACGTACGTTTGGCGTGACACGTTCGCCAGAACGTGGGCCAACACGTGGATCCAACACGCAAAGGGTCAGCACGGACGTTTGAACACGGTACGGGTTGTGCTTCAACACGGGCGTATCAAAGCAGCTGAGAACTGCAGAAGTCCGCAGTGCTCCCGTGGCCGAGGTTGCGAAAAAGAGGGCCTCCCTCTCCTTCTGCTCCTGCTCCTGCCGCTGCTCCTCCTGCTCCAGCACATCCTGCTCATCCTCCGTCTGCTGCTGGTGCTGCTCCCCATGCTGCCGCCGCTGCTGCTCTTCTTCCCCACAAGGGAGGGGTGCGGAAGCCGAGGATGAGGAGTTCGTGTTAGCCACTGCGCTGCTCTGACACGAACTGGATTCGAAGTCATCTCGGCCTCTAGGATGGGCCGAGCAACAGCTCCTCCTCCTCCTCCTCCTCCTCCTCCTCCTCCTCCTCCTCTTCCTCCTCCTCCTCCTCCGCCTCCGCCTCCTACTCCGCCTCCACCTCCTCCTCCTCCTCCTCCTCCGCCTCCGCGAGCACGGCACTGAAAGAAAGCTGGCTGACGCACATGCACCAGCGTGCCGACGTGGAAGCAAACTCCCCCGAAGGACATAGACGAGTGCAGGAGACTGGTGCCGACGACGATCACGCCAACGTCAATGCAAGAGGCCAGAATAGTGGAGGGTGAAGGGGCAGGACGAGTAGGAAGAGGAGGAGGGGGATGAGCGAAACTGGTGGAGGAGAACGAATTCAGAGGGGGAGGAGCAGGAGGACGGAGGATGACACTGACGACGAAGGCAGCCACGACGCGGTATGACGACGATGGTAATTACGAAGGAGCCTCGGGCTTGCTCAGGATTCCGTCGCCATCCTTGTCGAACTTTGCGAAGGTGGCGTTCAGAGCGTCCATCTGGATGAGGCGGAGAAAGGAGGTAGAGGGTCTCGGTAACAGTTACTTGTTAGGAAATTTCGGCGATCGTCGGACGCACTTTAGAGCCTCTGGGATATTTCCCAAGGTTGAGGGAGGTTCCCTAGGTTTCGGGAGGAGATCAAGGATCGGAAGGTGAAGGAGGAAAGAAATACGACGGGGAGGGAGGACCATGACGAGGAGGAGGGCAGACGCAACAGCTTTGAGGCGACAGTCCAGCACCGCAAAACAACAATAGAGTAGTACGGATATATCAGAAGGAGGATGATGAGCAAGAAAGAGGAGGGATGAAGACTCAGGACCGAAGATAACAACACATAAACGCAAGGAGATGGGATAGAAAAGCGGAGAAGGAGGGGCATTCAGGAATTCTGGAAGAGGAGGAACAATAATTGGGATGTGCAACATGAGGAGTACGTAATGTGGAGTAAGGAGGAGGACGAGGGCAGGTGGAGAAACGAGGGGGGTGAAAGGAAAGAGGAGGAGGACGAGGCTATGAGAAGGAGGAAGAGGAAGAGGAGGAGAAGAGAAGGAGAGGGAGGAGCAAACGGTGGCGGCGGAAGCGGAATGTGTTCAGAACACTTCTACCTCCATGAGACGACAAACAAAAAAGCGGAGTGAGAAGGAGCCGGGAACAATCACAAGGATAACGAACATTCGCATACATGAGGGAGCACAACGATTAAGCAACGGCAGTACAAGTCACAGCGGTGTTCGGGACGTCCACCTGAACCAGGATAGAGGACAGAAAAGGAGGGAGATGGAAGGGGAATGACCGAACGCAAAGTGAAGAAGAAGAGGAGAGTCGCGCGCTGGCATGGAGAGGAGCGGGGTATGGGAAAGTGAGTGAAATTGGGGTAGAGGAGGGCGGGGGCACGGGGCAACATGACGAAAGCTGGTGCAAGTACAATTGTCAGAAGCCCAATCCTGTTTCTTGGCCTCGGCCTTCTTCCGCATCTTCGCCACGGTGGTCTCGGCGAACACCAGTGCCTCGTTGCACTCCTTCGTGCACGCTGAGTTCCTTGTGATTGAGGAGTAGAGGAGGAGGGCGACACATATTGGTATTATATGTAGGGTATGGGGGATGAGAAGACAGAACGGCGCTTTGGGGCGGAAGCCCGAGAGAAGGAAGGCGAGAAGGAGGATCAACAACAGTGTGGCGAGCTGGAGGCAAGGAGAAAGAGGAAGAGCACGAGGAGCATGCAGCAGGAGGAACACAATGAAAGGAGGATGACAAGCAGCGTGGTTGGGGGATAGAGCTGCCCGAGGCCAGGTGTGGATGATGACTACTATTTGTGAGGGCAACGGTGAGTATGATGACGAAGACGTGAAGGAGAAGGATGCGAAGAAGGAGGAGGAGGAACGGAAGGGCTGCGAGGCAGACGCGGCACAGGACACCGTGGAGCAAGAACGTACCCTGCGTGCAGCGCCACCATGGTACCAGAGTCTCCCTCGGAAGCAACCCCGAAGGGGGCTAGGAGACGCACGCAGAGACCCTGATGTGGAAGAGCAACTTCCTGTTGGAACTACACCGTCCGTCCAGAGGGATCGCGAAAGCTCTGCAACAAATCGGGCCCTCAGATGGCGAACTTCTTGTGGATACCCGGCGGGCCCCTCCTCTAGCCCAGAGTGTCGACCCGGTACCGGCTCGCAGAACACGCGCGATCCGCCCCATGACAACATTGCGTCTCACGCCTGTGCTGCCACGACCGCCTCCCTCCCCATCTCCCCTTCCTCCCCTCCCTCACTCCTTCTCCTCCCTCCCATCCCCAAGCACCTCACGCAGCCCCCCCCCCCCCTCCCCTCCCCTCCTGCCCCTTCCGCCCCTCTCCCCCTCGCCACGCTTCCACCTCCCCCGGGGAGCCCCCGAAGAGCTCCGAAGACCAGTCGGACGCCTCGGAGCACGCGTGTGAAAACGTACAGGGCAGTTTTTAATACATGGGATCTTAAACATGTAGGATGTTTTAGTACATGATTGAAATGTGAATAAATTGATTCATGGACTCATCGTTGTTTTTGATACTAAACCATGCATTTTTAATACGTGATCCGCACGCGGAGCATGTATCTAAAAACGGCAGTGTAGGAGGGTGTCCGAGGCAGGCCGACAACCGCCGCCCCGCCTGGCATGGAGGAGCCTCGAAGAAGAGAAGTCCTGGACACTGGGGCGTTCCCCCGCGCACTTCTGCTTATCATTCGTCGTCGTCGTCGTCGTCCTCCTCCTCCTCCTCCTCCTCCTCCTCCTCCTCCCCCTCCCTCTCCTCCTTCACCCCCCCCTCTTCCCCCTAACCCTCCTCCTCCATTCCCTGTTAAGTATTATACGTATATATATACACAGAAAATCTCCTGGTCACACCCCGAGGCCGGTCGAAACGGCGGGCCATGCGTTTCGCCTGGGAGATCCTCACCGCTTATGACCCTGAACATTCAACATGGGCAATAGTTTCGTTCGCAGATGGGGGGGGGTCCAAAATGTGGTTCTCGCCTGGGCGCCGCGCGTATTCTTTTCAAACATTGTCATGAATTTCACGGATTGAGGGCCAGTGGTTTAAAACATGCAACTCTCGCCCTAGCGCAGCGCAAAATTGTTTTAAACATTGCAAAGAGTTCACGGATTGAGGGCGGGCCGTTTTCAAAATGTGGCTGTCGCCACAACGCCGCACAATGGTTTCACTTGCAGGAATTCCATGGATTCAGGGCGGTTCGTTATCAAACTGTGGTTTTCGCGTCAGCGCCGCGCACATTCGTTTCAAACAAATCCGAGAGCTTCACGGATTCCACTGGTCAATGTACCAGACATGGTGCTTTGAAAAAATCAAGATTGTGAGTGCGCAGCAGTTACCTTGATTCGCGGTGTTGACGTCCCAGGCACGGCGTTTTGGCACGAGCCAGGATCATCAAAACGCAGCAATCAGGTTGATCCATGGCGTTGGAGTCCCGAGCATGGAATTTCGGCATGCTTCAGGGTCTCCAAACGCCAGCGAGGCACTTTCCCCAATGGAAATGAACCTGCGCATGGGGCCTATGAAGAGGAAGCTTTGAGGGAGGGTTTATGCCAACGTCGTTGGAGTCTTGGGTGTAGTCTGGTCCTCCGCCTTCTCCTCCGCCTCCTCCTCCTCCTCCTTCCCCTCCGCCTCCTCCTCCTCCGCCCCCCCCTCCTCCTCTTCCTCCTGCTCCTCATCCTCCTCCTTTTTCACTTTCTCCATTCTTCGTCTTTGTAGAAAACTCTTCCGAAAGCGCGGGCCGGGCATGCCGCCTGAGACTTCCTCACTAATTCTGATCCTGAAATGTAAAACATTGGTAATTCTTGCGCGGATGGAGGGCGGGTGGTTTTCAAAATGTGGTTATCGCCGTAGCGCTACGCACATTTTTTTTGAAATCTGTATATGTTTCACGGATTGAGGGCGGGTCGTTTTCAAAATGAGTTCTCGCTTTAGCGCGGCGCACGCTCGAATTCACGGATTGAGGGCGGGCGGTTTTCTAAATTTGGCTTTATCTCCCGCTCTCGCCTCAGCACCGCCCACATTCGTCTTAAAAATGAAAAAAAAAGTCTCCCGGATGAGGGCGGGCCGCTTTCAAAATATGGCTCTCGCCCCCGCGCCGCGCACATTCGTCTTTTAACAAAGTGCAGTGGCTTACAGATTGAGGGCGGGTCCTTTGCCATTCGTGGCTCTCGTAGCGCCGGGGGATTTCATTGTAATATGTGCAAGAGTTTCGCGGGCTCCCATGGTTACCCATCGGTCGGAAAAAGTAGGTAGAAACATGACGTAGGAAGGCGTTGAAAATAGATTGGGTTCCGCCCGCCCCCTAAGAGGGACGGAAAAGGTGAAGCCACTCGATCATTGAAGTAGGAAGACGCTTAAAGTAGATTGGAATATGGGAATCCAAAAATACCTACTTTCAACGACCGATGGGTAACGCACCAGAAACGAACGATTCAGGACTGTCAGGGCCCAACGGTTAATTACGTTGATTCGCGGCGTGGAAGTCCCAGGAAGGGCGGGTTTTGGCGCGACTCGGGATCGTCAAGACGCCAAAATCAGGTTGCCTCGCGGCGTCGCAGTTCCGACAACGGTGTTTCAGCATGCTTCGCTGCGCTTCGCTCCGCGGGAACGCCAGTCAGTGCTTGAAGCGCCCCAGACAACACCGCGGGCCGCCACCGCGCGGGCCCGTTCACACCTTCGAGGTGGGTGGACCCCCCCCCCATGGTTCAAACTGTCTCCCAGCGCGGTATTTCCCTCAGTGGAAATGAATCCCAGTAGAGGCCTATGTAGAAGGAGCTTGGAGGGAGGGTTCATATATTTCAGCATCTTTGATGAGTCTTGGGTTTGCACCGGTCCTCTTCCTCCTCCTCATCATCATCATCATCATCATCCTCCTGCTCCTCCTCATCCTCCTTCTCCTCTGGCCCCAGCTTGGGCCCAGGAAGGGCCCAGGCGGTCGAAAATGGCAAACAGGCGTTCCCCAATATCCGTTTCTTTCAGGACTTCGGGACCATTTTTTTTCTCATTGGCGACCTCGAGAAATCGTCGCCGAGAAGTCGTCGCGCGGACCTCTCCCGGGAAAACGTTCTGACCAGAAATTCCAAGGGAATTTAGCCGTGTCGACGGGACACCTCCCGGAGGACCCACACAAAGAGAGAGAGAGACGTTTGAAACCCTCGAGCCCCGAACGAAGGATCCTCGAACCTCGAACGAACACGATTTGCGCATGCCTTGACATCCACCGATCTATCTATTCTCTTCTCCGCGGCCCCAGAGAAGTCCCGACCGCGTCCGCCGGGGTGTCTTTTCGTCTAGAACCAGTTTTCGACGATCCCGCACCCCCCGAAAGCCGAAACCAAAAAAGAACCGCCGGCCAGAAACCTCGCACCGCCAGGGATGCGGGAGCCTCGAGCCTCGAGCATCCTCGAGCCTCGAACGAGCTCCGACCTCTCCACGGCGGGGTGCGTGCCTGGCCGAAGCCTTCGCGAGCCCCGCGCCGGTGTCGACCGCCGTCGGGCCCACAGGCACTTTGTGCGTGACCCTAATCTTGGCGCTGTTCTCCTGGGGAAAAACGGGCCGCGCCCTCGCCTCCCCGTCGCCCGGGAGGGCCAAGGGGGGATTTTGGGCGGCTTCGGAGGAGGAGGAGGGGGAGGCCAAGGAATAGGACGACGGTTAAGTCATGACGTCATTTGCTCGGGAGGCGTTCCAAGAGCCCCAGGGTATCAATCGGTCCTCTTTTCTGAAGCCCGTGCGAGGCTGGTCTGGTTTTTTGGTTTGGGGGGAGGATGCCAAGGAGTAGGACGACAAACGCGTCATGGTGCGATTGGCTCGGGAAGAGTCCAAGGAGTTCCAGAACATTTGTCGGCCCTCGTGTGCACCCCGCGTGGAGAATCAGGACATTTTGGGACTCCTGGAGACTGCGTACGTGTACTTATTGTCACCGCTTGTTCTTCTGAAGAGAACGCAAGCGAAATATTCAAACTAAGATGTGTCTCGTGCTCGTTCGACAAGTGCACGCTGCAACGAGTACATCAACGCCGCTGGGGCACAATCCCACCCACACCGGGCCGGCAGCATGCTTTCCGTGGGCACGCGATGCCACCAAAAGGGGTTGATCTGCTTGACGTGGGTTCGCATCGGTGTGTGATGGGCCAGAAACAGTCGCTGGACACGCTAAACCGAAGTTGACTATCGTACACACCTTGAATGTCAGCGTTTGATTTACAACAACCTGGGGGGGGCGCTTGATTAAAACAGTGTTTCCTCTGCTCGGGCGAATCGGGGGGGGCGCCCAACAATTGGAACACACTGCGGCGGCACTGGTGATTAGCGCCGACGCCCAGCCGACTGCAGGAGGGCGACAGGCGCAACGCAAGCGGCGCTTCAGCGGAGGGGGGCAGCAGCGCCTCCGACCTGGCGGGGCGGTTGGGCCAAAACGGCGACAGACACGAGGGAAGGAAGAGTCGGGGGAAAGAGGCGCCTCGACTGGCGGGCGATGCCAACATGGCTACAGCCAAAAAGCGGACGAAACTGGAAGGAGCGGAACAAGCAGGGAGAACATCTCTCCTCCTTCTCCTTCTCCCCCCTTCCTCTTCCTGAGACGATGACGGCGAAGACGTCGACGACGAAGACGACGACGACGGCGACGGCGACGGTGGACTGCGGATGCTCCATGGGGGGGTTGGGGGCCGGGGGTGCTGCGTATGCCCACTCGCCGTAGTGGTCGACGACGACGACGAGGACGAGGACGAGGGCGAGGCAACGACGACGGGCGACGGCGGCGACGACGCACTGAGGATGCCCTATGGGGGGGATGCTTAGGGCCGCCGTAGTCGACCATCACGAGGACGACGACGACGACGACGACGACGACGACAACAACAACGCGACGACGACGGCGGCGAAGACAACGCATCGCGGATGCCCCATGGGGTGTGTGTGTGTGCATGTGCTGCGTAGGCCCTGCCCGCTGTAGACGACGACGACGACGACGACGACGACGACGACGACGACGACGACGACGACGACGACTGTGGCACGTCAGTAATCAGCCTGAGAAGGGGGGGAAACTTCTCGTCGGATGTATACGATCTCTATAAAAACTTCTATACAAAGAGCAACCGTTTTGGAGGCCGCCGGTCTATTTATCAACCTCGGGGGAAGGAGCGGGGGGGCGCCTCATTTGTTCATCACAAGCTGGAAGTACAGTAGAGCTCGACCCAAAAAAACCTTCCACAAGAAACCCAACCCTGAGACCCCAGGACTTCCACTGACTTTTTTGGTGCGGGAACGTCACGCTTCCGTTGAAAAGCCATCGAAACCCAAAAAGTCCAGGGCACCCTGGAGGTAAGCAGGGTGTTTCGTGGCATGGGCTTCCACTGTACATCGATCCTGCGTTGGCGTCCTCCGAGAAAGGGGGGAGGAGGGATAGGACAAGGACCATTTTTTATCATCTTGACCCGGCAGCCCAGGCGGACGGCGCCAACGACAGAAGGCCGCGGCCGCATTCGGCGCGGTGCTCCCTAGGAGGTTGGAGGAGAAGGCGGATCAGGATCAGGAGGGGGTTGACGACCAGTAAGAAGAATCCGACTGTGCCTCGTCCAACCAATCAAAGAGCGAAGGCAGGCGGCCGCGCAGTCGCACGAGGGAGGCCCAGCCTTTACACCCTGTTCCCGCTGCTGCTGATGCTGCTGCCTTCCATTGTGCTACACTGCTGGCGGGCTGCCCTATGGAGGCGCTCTATGGACTCAACGGGGCCCAAACCAATGCTTTTCCCCTTCTCAGTCCGTGGATGCTGCCCCTTCAACATCCGGCTCCAGCGGTGCTGCTGGACATCCGACGAGAAACCTTCATGGCAACTCCTAGCCAAGCAACGCAAATCTCTCGAAGTGTGGGCCCCACTCGTCGCACATCCGAGGTAGAAGGTCTCCTCATCAGCTCGGAAAGGAAGCATTAAGAGCCTGTGTCCCTAGGCTCTTGACCTAAACATTACAATGGACTGTTGTGGCCCGGGCAGCCTGCTCTTGCGGGCCTTGGTGCTGTCCTTGCGCGCCCACTCCAGGCAGCGGGCACACGCCCAATTAGCCTGCCTCCAAAACCAGGCGTGGGCGAGAAACTCCTGTCCCTCACCCTCCCGGGGGGGGGGGGTAAGGCGACGACCACGAGGCTCCGACGGAGGATCAGGAGGAGGAGGAAGAGAAGGAGGAGGTTGTGGAGATGGGGCCGTTGCCGAGAGAATGGCGGCCTCCCCCTCGACAGGCTGCGCCACTGTTTCTCGAGCGCCCTGCGCACCTCTCTGGATCTTAACCCTGGGCCTCGGACCCCTCTTAACCTTGTGTTTGCTGGCGCGTGTGGTTGCCAGCAGCTGGGGCCACGAATTGAAGGCTTTACCTACATACATCAAGAGTTCGCGGTCTCCGGGCCCCTTCAGAGCAGCAGCGCACCAGGCGATCCATTCGGCTGCTGGGAATGTCTGCGGGAAGGCGGCCCCAACTGATCCATGGAGAGCCGCGTAGGGCTCCCCGTTGCCTTAAGGCGAACAACCGCCCATCCAGCATCATGAAAATATTCGGCCCCTGACTTGAGGCACGACCCGTCTGTGAACAGTCTGCCTCGAAGGGCCTGCTCATCAGCGACGTCTGAATGGGCGCACCAATAATTTGCAGCTTCCTTCCCAGAACTCTCTGGGGGGCACAATTCACAATTGGGCGCCAGTTGAAAACCAGCCAGGAAAGGATGGCGGTTCCGTACATACCTCTCGATATCCTCCCTCTGAACGGGTGTGAACATCGAATCCTGGAGCGGCTGGGACAGTGGACACTCGCACGGCCGATGCACCAAGTCATCACTGCGATGCCCGCATGGGCTGAAAGGCTGAATGACAACATACCCGCCTGAAGCAAGCTTGGCATCAGTCCACAGCCCCTGGGTCAGATATCCCAGGCGACATCATGTCTCCCTAGAGCTCAAAAGAAAACGGTCATTAGGCCCCCGCCCAGTGCTCAGCAAGGACCAAACCACGCCTACATCGAACACGTCTCTATTGACGCCTAGTTCCTAGCCGCTTCTCGCTGCGCCCTTTCTCTCCGCGACCGCTGCAACAGGGAGAGAGCAACCAAGGGGAGGTGGAGGTAAGACAGTGGGTGTCGCCCCTAGGGTCCCTGATGACAGAAGGGGTTTCAAATCTCCAGCCGAACCTAGCTAATGACAGCATCGCAGCTCCAAAAGGGCCTCGTACTGAGCACCACTTCTGGGGAGGGTTCCTCAACAGCACAGACGCCAAACTACAAAGCCTTGGAAGACCTTCCGAGAAGTGCGGACTGGTGGGCGCACACACTGCCTTCCAGACAATGGTGGCCCACGTGAGGGCTGGGGCCTGGAGGAGGATGATGTCGAGGGTGCGAGACCGAGTCCGAGCTCTAGGCCCTGCCACTCTTAAGAACTCACCCTGCCTGTTCAATTCGAGATTGTCCACTCCCGTGACCTCCGCCCCAAAAGTGAGCGCTTGCTGACACCCCGTGCGAAACAACTTAAAAATGCTGGCGCCAGCCCGGCGCAAGGTGCCTATCCTACGACGCCGTTTCATAAATAGATTGGGTCTAGCTTGCAGCGTGGGCCGGGTCGTGCCCCCTCTGGGCCTTGTCAGCCCAGAATTCTACTCCTAATTTGGCAGCCGCTGTGCACGCCGACCCACCCAGCGCCCCGACCTTTTCGGCCACCAACTTCAGGGCAGAGGGTCTGCTGGCAGCTACTGCGGCCTTGTGTAATGCCATGCCACATCCCATCTCCTCCTCCATGAGATCTGCATTCGCTTTGGCCTTGGCGAGCTCCTTCGCGACGGTCTCGTAATTTTCTGGATGCGTTGAGAAGCAAGACATCATTAATAAACATATTGGAACGCACACTTTGGAACTCGGGCTGGAATGTGAGCAGCCGGGGCCCGACGTACACTTGGACCAGGAAAGTGGCCAGCCCGCAGCCCGCAACGATCCCCGCCGATGCGAACCCCACCATGATCGTCACCTCCTGCATCGAGACAGACCTGAACCCATTGTGCTGGTTGATGCCTACGCTCAGGATCTGGCTGGGGAGCTGTAATTCTTCAGCTCTCGAGGCCAGCTCGGATTGGCTCAGGTGCTCGTAGAAGCTACTGAGGTCCCACAAGACCGTTGCAGCCCTGAGGGGGTTTTCCTGCAAGGAGGCTGCTTCGCACCATGGCCTTTAGAACCAGATGGCTCTTCGACATACGTGGGGCTCCTCGCACTTTCTGGCCTGCTTTGTTGGGGGTCGGGCCTTTATCGATCCTGGGAATCCGTGCGCCTCGCAAATACTCTGCGGGGGAGCATGTATACTAGTAGCCCTTGCGCCCATCACGTTACTCAACATTGTGGGCCAACCTCCACTTTGGCAACGGCACCTACTTATCGTCAGCATTATCCCCGAGGTTACCACCGTCATGAACGATCGCGCTCGCAGTGTTGCTGGGGGGGGGTCCAGAATATGACGGCGCCCTCTGCCGAGAGGGGGTCTGGAAAATGATGTCGCGAAGGAAGGGGGGGTCCGGTGTTTTAGAGGGGCGTCGATTATTCAGGGATCCAGAGTTTGGGCGCGCGAGGCCGGGGCCCGTGGTCCACGGCACGTGCATGCAAAGAGGGTGGGGAACCAGGTCCGGGAGGGAGGGGCGAAGAGGAGCAGGGGGGATGGGGAATCGGGGGAGGGGGAGGGGTTCCTGGGAGGTTTTGGGGTGCTCCTCGTGGCGTTCGTTGGCTCCTTGAGGTGTTTGGGGGGGTTCCCCATGCTGCTCCCTCCTCCTCGTCCTCCGACGCCATCCTTCTCCTCACTCATCCCCCTTCTCCCCTCGTCCTCGTCGTCGCCCGAATCGGAAGACGAGGAAAGAGCGACAGGGAGAACGGTTTCTGGCTTCCCATGCATTGCAATGTTGCTAAGGGCTCCATGAGGTTGTCCGACTATCCCTCTCATTAGTGGTCTTACTCCTCCTCCACTCGTCTTCCTCCTCCTCTTCCTCCTCCTCGTCCCCATCGGCACCCTCATACTTGAGTCCTTGACGAAGTCGGATACTGCTTTCAACTTCGCTTTGGCGATGTCACCCTTCTCCTCCACCGCTTTGGCGTTCTTCTCAACCTCGGGCCCCGGTGCAAGACCGGCTGGTTGCCACGAGGATAGAGTAGGAGACAGGGAAGCAAACGGAGAACCAGCATGAGGGTGGGGGGGAGGCAGAAGGAGGAATCAGCACCAAGGGGCCCCTTCTTCTGCAGTGATGAGCAGCTGGGCGCGGGAGAGCGACCAGAGGGTTTGGAATGAATGGTATCTAGGAGGAGGAGGAGGAGGAGGAGGAGGAGGAAGAAGGGGAAGCGGCAGAGACAATGGCAAGAACTGGAGGAGCAGGGCGACGCAAGGCGACGCTGGAGGAGAAGTAGGCGGCGAACCGTAGTGGGGGTGAAGAGAGAGGGGCAGGCCTCCTCAGGAGGCGGCGGGGCTTCTCAAAAGACCCTGAGCCTCCTGAGAAGACCTTCAGCCTCCTGACAAGCCCTCTGTGCCTTCGGAGAGGCTCAGAGGAGCTGCTCAGGAGGCCACCCTCTGAGCCTTCTGGGAGGGGCCCGCCTACTCCGCCTCCCCCCCAGGGGCGCGCCGCCGAGTGCGGAGGGGGCGAGCGAGGACGCCGAGCTACACGGGCGAGAGCGTCGACGACGACGAGGAGCAGCACGCCGACGAGGGAGGGAGGGAGGGAGAGCAGCGGGGAGGCGAGGCCAGGAGAGGAGCGAAGGAGCACGGGCCTCGGATTCGCCTGTGCTCGCCCAGGTGAGAGGTCGAGCCTCCCCGGGGGCAGTGCTCGAGGCAGAGCGAGGCCCTGTCGGATCCCATTGGGACGCGCTGGCTTCTCTTGGTCCTTGGCCCCAATATGACCACGTTTTCTGCTCCTCGCAGGCTTTTTCATCGCCTCCTCCCTCGTTCATCGAGTAAGGCTTGGCTGATGGGGCGACGATGTCTATACAGATGTCGACCGTGACTGACCAGACCCATCCTGGGCCCAAGAGCGGTGCATGCGCCCCTCTGACTCGGCCAGGGAGGCACATGCAACGATCCTGGGCTCAAGATGGGCCTGGCCAGGCTCAGTGGATGTTTGTAGGGACCTCGTGCCAGATCTGGATCGCCGCGACCAAAAAGAACGCGGACGATCAGGGAGGTGATCTGTGGACCGGGCGCTCCTCGACCTCGGGAGGCGACGCCGAGATCGGCACGCCTGATCCCCCCTCCCTGGACGCCTCCTTCGTGGGGCCGGAGCAGATTGGGTCGCAGGATCACGCCGCATCGACGATGCGTCGGCGATTGCGGATTGGAGAACATCGGACTCCAAATCGCCGGTGGACGGCCCAAATTCGGGGGGCTACGACTCCGGTGGTCTCGCTCATTCTCCTCCTCCTCCTCCTCCTCCTCCTCCTCCTCTTCCTCGTCCTCCTCCTCCTCTTCCTCCTCCTCCTCCTCCTCCTCCTCCTCCTCCTCCTCCAGCCTCGGCCCTCCTCTTCCTCCTCTTCCTCCTCCTCCTCCTCCTCCTCCTCCTCCTCGTCTCCTGTTCCTGATTCTCTCTTCTTCCTCCTCTTGATCCTCCTCCCCCTCCTCCTCCTCCTCCTCCTCCTCCTCCTCCTCCTCCTCCTCCTCCCCCTCCTCCTCCAGCCTCGGCCCTCCTCCTCCTCCTTCTCCTCCTTCTTCTTTTCGCCTCCTCCCTGCGACAAGCAGTGACGGTCATCCTGGCAGCAGGTGCTCTGGACGCGCGGGCTGGGCGCCAAGGACGAGATGCAGAGGGCGCGCGGGCTATGCGCCAAGAGGCGGCGGCGGGCCGCGGGGTGCGCGCGCCAGGACAGCGTGCTCGACGCCGGCGGCTCTCGCACGGCTGGTCGGCATCGGAATCGGGAGAGTCGGATCGGGTTGGGGGAGTTTATCCGCACTCGCCCTACGCAAGCCGCCAACTCCTCCGCCTCCTCCTCCTCCTCCTCCTCCTCCTCCTCCAGCTCCTCCTCCTCCTCCTCCTCCTCCAACTCATCCTCCTCCTCCTCCACCCCTCCTCTCCCTCCTCCTCCTCCTTGTCCGACCCCCCGCATCTCGGATGCGGTGGAGATCGGGCAAGGTACCAGTACGAACAGATCGGGTGCTGTGCGAACTCTGAGGTCCGACGACGCGACACAACGTCGTGAGACATCACGACCAGAGCTCCAGAACCCATCTTTCTGCGGCATGCGTGAGGGTCCCCGGGCTCGCAATTTTGCGAAGACACCCGAATTGAAACAAATGCGACGCCTTGATCTCGTGGAATGGCTCGGGGGTCTCCGAGAGCCAACAAAGTCCACCGGGACATCCCAGACCAACGAGACTCAGACCTGG